AAGCAGTGTTACCCTTGACTCAGAAAAAGGTTTATACGATTCCCATGTCTCTTGCAACGATTTGGATCGCTTTTTATTACTGAACATAACTTACGGTTCATCTTAGCCCACTGAGTTTCTCGCCGGATCTTCTCAGCGGGTCGCGATTCCGATCCGGTGGTAGATTCTGCCAAGCACTGCTCTTGCTAGGGCCAGTGTTAGCAACAGTCCCGGTTTGAGCCCCGTGAGCTCACCTATTAGCTCAGTGAATCTAGAACAACCCCTCGAGGTTACAAGAATAGGTAGGAAAAAAATGGTCACCGTGTTTTAAGGCGCTACCTCCCTTGAGTTTTGACATCGAGGACTCATCCTTCAGAACGCAACGCACACCTTCGCCGCAGATATAATACGGACGGTAGAGGTACAGAGCACAATCATGTATATGGGGACAAGTTGAAAAAGTGTTCACCTTTAAAAAGCAAGTTGTTGTTGGAAGACTCACCGAAATAGCGCTAGTGTAGCAAGTGGAAATGATATGAATATAGCAGTTTTAAGCAGAGTGAAGTATGGTAGCTTTTTTAAAATCTTGCCACTTGCTACTGTGGCGCCACCTTAATTAGTTCGTTTTCAGCAGACACTGTTACTACACGGAGATGGTGCTAAGGAGCTTAGTGCTAAGAGAATACCTGAGATCATAGATTATTAAAGAAATGCTATCGTGTACTCTTTCTTCCTACCTAATCACCAGTAGCTTCGAGAGGAGCCTTTTGCGTTCACCGTATTAGTACGGTGACCTCACGGGGCTCAGTTTGTGAAGCTTGGCTAGCATCTGCCTTAAAAAGAGCAGTGATTTGGTGAATCTACTACCAGATCAGAATCAGATCAGAGAGCCAGGCGAGCAGCTCACTGCGTTGTATCTGTGGGTTAAATCTATGTGATTATTGACGAAATCTATAAGGATTTGATACGTTCCAAACTCATAAAATCGTAAATTAAGATCTTGCACGTTTTGATATTACTGGTAAATGAACAAACCTATTTTATTAATCAGTTTGAATCAGCGCACAATTTTCTATCGGTGTCGCGTTAAATCTGGTAAAAAAAAGAAGATAATATTATGTAGGTACCTTACCCGTTTTAATATCGCGTTGTCATAATTTACAACCACATCGCTGTTTGCATTCGGCTAATAAGTTTATAAGCCATGTGACCGACGTTACGAAATCAAAAATTGAGCTTCGTACATACATTTATCACAGAGAACTTATACTTTTACGTTCAAAGCTATTAAAAACTTCGCCCCTGACTTAGTTAATGTTAACTCGTGACATTAAACACATTCCAATACGATATGAGCGGCCAATTACATAATATTAGGTACTTCTAACATCGTTGCAGTGAACGTATTGTAAATATTGCCGGCGACTATTACAGTGCCCGGCGATAAATATCGCATATCGGCCTTTAGAAAGAGACAATCGGCAAATTTCGGCTTCGTAGAGCGCTCTCTCTTTTACACACTACGTATGCGACGTTTATCAGTCGTTGTCCCAGTGCGACAGTGTACAGTCCGAGTATAGTTAGTGTTTCATTCGATGCGCAAAATTTATCGCTGGGTACTGTAGATATAATATGTGGTAACCCACTTATCGTGGTCGCCGCTAATTACATAATATCCGATCCAGGCGACGAGGCAACGCAAAGGCTTTTTTTTCTACCAAAGCTGGTAAAGTAGGTGAGCTCACGGGGCTCAAACCTGACGACTTTGCTAACAGTAGCCCTAGCAAGAGCAGGCCTTCGCAGAATCTACCACCGGATCGGAAACGCGACTCACTTAAAAGGTCTGGCGGGAACCTCAGTTTGCTGTGTGTGGGTTAATTTACTCGCCGTGCCCTTCGTCGCAAGCGACGGGTTCGGCGAGAACTTGTTCACCAGTGACATTAACGACGAAGGAATAACATCGTGTAATGCAAGTCAAATTCGAAAAAATTTATAACTGCGTAATTGACGGTGGCAGGTCGTCTTTTGAGCCCACACGGTTAGGTATCTCATGGGTTTGGGTTCGGCGGGTTCGGCGAGGACGGTGATCGGTACTTGAGGTACCTAAAAGCACTGTTAATGGTTCGGGAGGATCCGAAATGACATGGTTAGGGCGACGTCGACTGTTTACCATTCGGTCCACAGGATATGGTAATTACCAGCGGCCACGACAATAGGGTTTTCATGTTGTGCCGCCTTCTCAAAGTGGCGCAATGATGCCGACTGTAGATACTTACTGACTGAGTCAAGCTCCAGGTCATCATGGAGATCCACGTTCCTTAAGAACCATGGTCAAGCTTAGCTGATTGGTCACATTGAAAGACACGTTACGCATAGCTTTGCTCAGTTTATCAGAAACTTTATTACTAGTTTCGGACCGATTACAGAACAATAATTTCCTAGCCTCGCTCTAATATGCCGGTACCGACAGGAAAGAAAGAAATAAAAAAATAATTATTAGTTAGGTTTGCTGTTTAATTAGGTATGTGTTTTTTTTTAGTTTTCCAACTAAATAATTATAGTCGTTGTTTAATTTTTTTTAGTGTGATGCCGGAGTACCTATGTGCTGTGGGAAGTAGGCGTGGACTAATTACGCTTTTTACTCAAGATCCTGCGTCAGAGCAGAGGGTAAGAGAAAAATCAGTCGCGGCGAGCGATTGAAGCAGTAGTAGGAAACCCGCAGCTCTTTGATTCCTCGGCAACAGCTGAATGCTTAAGGTACGGACAATTACTTATCATCTTGCCAGTAAACATTTTTTTAAACTTTTGACTTTTTTTTATTTTATTGCTTAGATGGGACGAGCTCACAGCCCATCTGGTGTTAAGTGGTTACTGGAGCCAATAAGCATCTACGAAGTAAATGCGCCGCCCACTTTGAGATATAAGTTCTAAGGCCTCAAGTATAGTTACAACGGCTGCCCCACCCTTCAAACTGAAATGCGTTATTGCTTCACGGCAGAAATAGGCAGGGTGGTGGTACCCGTGCGGACTCACAAGAAATCCTGGTGGTAACCAGTAAATAACTGTGTGACTAAGAGTGTAAGTAAGACTGTGACATGTGTCACTTTTTTTCCTACCTAAGCTGGTAGCTTTGACAGGCTTTGTCAGCGTAACCGGGCGAGTAGGTGAGCTTACGCGGCTCAAGCCAGGAGTGTTGCTAACACTGGTCCTAGCAAGAGTAGCGCTTCGCAGAATTTACCAGTGGATCGGAAACGCGACCCACTGCGAAAATCCGGCGAGAAACTCAATGGGCTGTGTCTGTAGGTTAATTTACTCGCCAAACCATTCAGCGCGAGCGACGGCTCGAGGAGAGTGAACGGTGCTGACCGGTGTTTACCGGTGCTGGTGGTACCTAAAACTTAAAAGCGCCGTTAATGGATCGGGAGGAACCGTAATGACGTGTTTAAAGCATAGGTCAGAAGTGCCCTACGCGGCTCACAGAAGTAATTATGTCGATTTCTGTATAAGCGCCTGGATAGTCTAACTTGGCCTTCCCTTGTTTTTAATATATGTTATAGAATTTTAAGATCTCCTAGAAATAGATTCATTCTCTGTATCGTCAGATTCGTCTTTTCTAGTCTAGTCTAGAGATATTCCGGCGCCTTAGTAAAAGAAATCGACATAATTACTTCAGTGCGCCGCGTAGGGCACCAGTGACCTACATGGCAATAAATGTGTTAAACAGAAATAATTTTACTGTATGTGTGTATGTCACTGAACTCCTCCTAAGCGGCTAATATTTTTGTCTGTGTTTGAGTGGCGTCCCGGATTGTTTAGATTCACAAATCAGCCCAGCAGATGGCGTTGCAGTCGGTATCTAGTTTATTTAACTATACTGGAACTAAGCGACTGGATCGACTTGAATGAATTGTTGTGTATGCATTCATTCATTCATTCATTTCATTCATTTTGTGTATGCAGGACAATGTCTGTGGAATCTGCTAGTACATATTATTATATAGAATAAAGTTTAAAGAAAATGGCTTTTTAAATAAATTTCAATTGTGTAGGTATTATGTACATTTGCCTTTTTTGGTTGACAATATTGTCGACTACTGGATTGGAGCATAGTGACGCATTTTTACAAAAGTACAACTATTAAAAACGTGTAAATTATATATAATTTAACGCAATAATAAACTCCTACAAACATTAAAATCGCATTTAAAAGCGATTTGTTCAATCATAACGTGTTATTACAACGCTTCCTTTGAGAGGTTGTTTTTTTTTTCAAATTACTCTGTAAGAAATTTCAGGAAAACAATTGAGAAGGTAAAAAAATTGTGAAATAGCGTAAATAGTTTTTACGTTTATTTCTCAGGCTTATTTTAATAGCGGTTAATGATAGGTTTGAAGCATAAAATCCATGGAAAATGCAATAACGTCAGAACGTTGCTTTTTTTTTCTCATACGAGATAATTTTAACGAGGGGCAATTATCAGAGACGATTCAAATTGGAATTTATTGCGTTCACAAAATTAGGACTATTATACCATTTTTACATCAAGTCTTTAATGTACTCTTGCTCTGTTTATACAAAATATTGAACACCCATCTAATAATCGATAGTCAAATCCTGATCATTTTCAACAATACTAATAAAACGGCATCTATCGACAAAGCCTAGATACGAGAGAATCGAGCCGATAAAGTCCTGATAAAGATTTAAGACACAATAGAAGCAGATTCATAAATTCAACAGTACAAGAAATACTAATATATAATTTTAATATAATAATCATATAATAATATTTTTTTATTTAACTCCTTTTAGTCATTTTGTGTAAATTGGAATAATTGCTTTGACGTTTCTTTGACAAACTTGAAAGTACTGTTTTCGTCAAAGCTAGGAATTCGAAAAGACCTGATATCATTGGTCCATTTGTAACTAAAATAATACTGACCAATCAAAACACAAATACGAATGTAAACATCATGTGACATTTTTTGAAGACCAACGAAACAGTACTGAGAAAACAAAATATCGATTGAAATTATAAAGCTACATAGAACCTGTAAATTTTTGTCTTTCTCATGCAATTTAATAAATAAACACCTTAGCAGCCATTGCATTGGTTTCATTACAGCTTTGCCGCTAAAGTAAGTAGCAGAACAACTTATCAAGGCACGACTTAATTAACTGTATTAAAAAAAGTAGTTTAATAAAATTTAGTTTACCTTGAGTTCCATGATTTGTATTTCAGATTAAAAAGACAACAAAGAAAATGCTACAGTGGCCGTATTACAACGATCAAGACGCACGCAAAAGACAAATAGACACTTTAAAAGTCTTCAACGAAAATGTCGTTCAGATCAAAGAAAGTTCAGAGTATCGCATAGATTTTACTGTTAATCAGAAAAACATGTGCCTAAACGTGATACTAAGTCCAGATTTTCCTAACGAGAAGCCTTCTATATTTGTTAATCCACCGGTACTCCATCCGTGGGTCGCCGAAAACTCAAACCAAATCGTAGGAGCTCCCGGACTCTTGAATTTCACGATACACTCGGACCTGGGCCGCGTGGTACAAGCCATAATACGTGAATTCCAGAAATCTGTCTTAAACATAACTGTAGAAGTAAGCTCGAGATCAAGTGAGGCGAGTCCTCGGTCCACAGTCAGTGCTCAGTCAATGCTGTTTCCGGAACTTAATAATTTCACCATAGAGGAGTTAAGAGAGATATTAGAAAGTACAGATTTGCAGGTAAGTTCACGCTAAAAATTTTTAACTCGATCCTGTGGACTGAATGGTAAACAGTTGTCACCCTAAACATGTCATTTCGGATCCTCCCATCACCTGTGATGAAGGGTGAACTAACCTATAGACACAGCCCACTGAATTTCTCATCGGATCTTCTCAGTGGGCCGCATTTCTGATCTGGTGGTACATTCTGCAAAGCATTGCTCTTGCTAGGGCCAGTGTTAGTAACGCCTCCTAGTTTGAGCCCCGAGAACTCACCTACACATTAGGGCTACAATGACATAGCCTATCTCAAGGCTATCAGCTTAGGTAGAAAAACAAAAACATATGGGCTAGATAAACATATTATGAGTATTTATTGAAAAAGTGCCATAATGTATATGTGAGTTTCATATTAAAAAATGAAGCCAATGCCTCAGTTATATTGCAAAAGCCCTCACACTTCTCAAACTGCCAGAAATGGGTGGTCCTCCAACAAATTCAAATTACTTATTATCTTCAAACTCATAAATATTTACAAACATGGTTGAGAATCTCCATTTAAGCTAATAATGTGCCTGTGGCCAGAGAAACATATCTTCAATAACAATATTAACATTCATAAGAATATGTGCATAGTACCTTGTTATTACAAGTAAACGAGTTTTTAAACAGTACTTATCATGGAAAAGATAAATCTAAATATCTCTTTTATAAGAAACACATATAATATTAGCATAATGTATTTGTTGGAGTGTAGTGTCTGCATACACAACATCCAACACAAGGTTGACTCTCTTAAGCATTGCAGTCACGGTTTACATTTCAAACTAAATTTTATTAACATCATGCATCAAAGTTGACACCATACCACCGTACCATAAATTTTACACTAATTCCAGGATAAACTTCTTGAGAATAATCCTCAGCTGATCGAATTAGATTTAGAGACGGAAGAGCTGATGAGCAGCATCGAGGAAGTGGCCCAGGAGAATATAGCGAAACAGCAAACCCTGGACGACATGAAGACTGAAGTTATAGAAATAATATCTAGTATAGTACAGATGAAGGTAAGGATTTTTTATTTTTATTGCTTAGATGGATGGACGAGCTCACAGTCCACCTGGTGTTAAGTGGTTACTGGAGCCCATAGACATCTACCACGTAAATGCGCCACCCACCTTGAGATACAAGTTCAAAGGTCTCAAGTATAGTTACAACGGCTACCCCACCCTTCAAACCGAAACGCATTACTGCTTCACGACAGAAATAGGCAGGGTGGTGGTACCCACCCATGCGGACTCACAAGAGGTCCTACCACCAGTAAAATGCTGCGATAAGATAGAGTACGCTATTAAATCGAAATATGATTTCAAATAGTAGCTATATAATTACACAACTTTGGCATCTGATATTAGAAATCATCATCATTTTCGCCACCTTATCCCATTCGGTGGGGTCGACACAGCTTATTTTTCTCTTCCATTCTCTTCTATCAGCCGTCACAACACTCACTCCTCTCTCTCTCTCATATCGTCATTCACACACTCCACCCATGTTTTCTTCGGTCAATCTCTTCCCCCTCTACCTTGCACTACCATTTCCATATGTCTCCTAGTCACATGCATCTTTTCTTAACGCATAACATGTCCATACCACGCTAACCGTCCGCTCTTTAATTTGTCAATTACCGGGGCTACTTTCAAAATTACTCTGATATACTCATTCCTTATTTAGTTCATTCCTGTTATATTACCCCACACATCCATCTCAACATTCGCATCTCTGCCTCATCCGATATTAGAAATATTGGTCCATTAATGAACACCGCAAAACGGTAGTCAATATAGACATCACAAATGTGATGTCTATATTATATGTCTATATTATATATATGTGATGTCTATATTGATGAATGTGTGATATGCTATTTACTTAATGCTGGTTTAAATGGTAGAAAAGCCATTATATTATACCTTTGAGACTTAGAACCCTTGCTTTAAGGTCTGTACTCACGCTGTAGTGCATATTGGCTCCGGCTCCAGCTCCAGACACATTGTGGACTGAATTATTGTCACAGCAAGTATCTGAATTCTAAACTTATCCTTCTCAGATGAACTACGAAGAATTGAACAAGAAACATCAGAAACTATGCGAGGTTTATGATCCGCACTGCATCAGGAATTGTCTTCGTGAGGCCGCGCTGAAAGCTGACGAGGATGCTGATGCGATAGCTGAACAGTTTTTACTAGGTACCGAAGGATTTTTAAAGTTAACACCTCTTTTGAACCTTGGACAAAAACAATAAGGTGAAGATTTCGCACGGCACCGGTGCTATTGTTCAGTAGAGTGGGGGATCCAAATGTTTTTGTTTGGCACTTAGGGGTAGTGGGACCCGCCTGTGGGATTCGAACACTGGTGCATCGCTACACACGAGTGCGTCTTATCCTTTAGGCCGTGACGACTTCATATAAATACTTATTTTCAGGTAACATTCCAGTGGAGACATTCATATCAAAGTTCTCCGAGAAACGTGCCCTCGGTCAAGCCAGGAGGGCGAGGGAAGAAAGACTGGCCTACCAATTGGCGCAGTTGGACCAAACCAGGACATAATTGGCCCTAGATGACAGCCAGCGCGAATGTTGTGAAGTTCAATAGATCCATCTCAACTTTTTATCGTTGAAAATTAAAAATCCAGCGCCATCTATTGGTGGAATTGAGTATATTCGTTGGTATAACTTATAAGAATTATACTAAACATATAGCGCCATCTATTGGTGAAATTGAATATATTCGTTGAATAATATAAAATTATATTAATCGTATAGCGCCATCTATTGGTGGAATTGGATATGTTGATATAACGTTAAAAAATAAGTAGCTCTATCTATTGGTAATATTTATAACAATTACAAAATCTAATTTCAACGGAAAGCATAAAGTTAGGTAGGCAGGTAAATGTAGGCAGTCATTATTTAAACGCTTATAAGACTTTACTATCATTGCGGTGGGTAAAAATCTGAACGTGTTTTCAGAGATATTGTACTTATTCTGTAGGATTTTTTTTTTTTTATTTATAAGAACTTGTGACATATGACTTAAGATATTTTTGAGGCGACGGCTCCGCTTGCATAATGCCACTGATGATAATTTCACTTTGAAAAAAAATCATGAAGAACTCAAATAATTTTTAAAAATTAAACTATAGTGAATATCAGAGAAATGTATTTCAATTAGTTTCTTAAATTTGTACTTATTTTCATTACGAAAAAAATCATATTCAAATCTCAACTCTTTAATTTTAATTCAACGTCCAATATCCGTATATATTAGAGTCGTCGTGGCCTAAAGGATAAAACGTCCGGTGCATTCGTTTGTAGCGATGCACCGGTGTTCGAATCCCGCAGGCGGGTACCAATTTTTCTATTGAAATACGTACTCAACAAATGTTCACTTCCACGGTGAAGGAATAACATCGTGTAATAAAAACCAAACCCGCAAAATTTTAATTTGCGTAATTACTGGTGGTAGGAACTCTTGTGAGTCCGCACGGGTAGGTACCACCGCCCTGCCTATTTCTGCGGTGAAGCAGTTACGCGTTTCGGTTTGAAGGGCGGGGCAGCCGTTGTAACTATACTGAGACCTTAGAACTTATATCTCTAAATTATAACTGTAGTTAACTTAAAACAGTTAACGAACACTAAAATTCTCAATTCACTTCTTTCGCTTCGCTTCAGGTGATCCGTTCGCTGTTTCGCTTCGAGTAGATCCGATTACTGACTGCTTCGTGCGAACTCTGCAACGCTTTATAGTCCCTAGATTTATCGAGAACATTCTGGGCAAGTCGAGTAGCTTCGAAGTGTGTTTCTGTTATCTGACAATAGGTGACGTGCTTCTGGAACGTTCCCGATATTACTAGTTCCTTTGATATTCGTTTCGGCTATTCGGCGATAGATGGCGTTACTCTTACCGGCGTAACACTGTTATACATATAGAAAAAATAAGCTGTAAAATTTCGGTAATTCCCATATAATATGTGTTTATAGTGTAATTATCTAAATAATTTTAAACATAAATCTCATTATCGTGTTGTAGAAGTACGTACCGTATTACATTTAAGAGGGTTTTGAGGATTTTTAATACGCTTTTAATAGCTTCAGACGTATATATGTTAGTATGTAACGGAATCTTTGAACATGATTTTGAAATTTTGTATACCTACTTATTAAGGACCGATGACAACTCAGTATTAAAAAAAATATTGAAAAAATTGAAATTCAACTAAAAAATGAAAAATAAATAATAGTTTAAAAGCACTAACAAAATATGATTTTCAGGATATTATCAAAATAACCCTTCTACTCATATATGTTCATAAAATATAACTACTGATACTATGCACCCAACGCTTTTTTTACAATAAAATCATTTTTTCTTACACTATTTTTAACTCAAATTGATTAAAATTTCTATTTTTTAGTTGAATTTTCTATAAAAGCGTATTTTGTTAGTTTTTTTTAAATTATTATTTATTTCTTTTCGTATTAAAATGGAACCGCGTTGTACCTTGCTATAGGAGGGTTGGCTGTATTTGTTATCCGGTCGTAATTACGATGCATCATTAATGTTACCGCTTAGTTAATTTATTTTTAGTAATTAAAATCTAGTGATGTTATATGTACCATTTGTATTTTTAGTAATTAAAATCTAGTGATGTTATTTGTATTATTTGTATGTGATGTCTAAAATTATCACCTAAAATTAAATATTATGAAAAAATAAAGTTATCCGTAATGTGTTTTGTTTTATTTTTTTATTTTTATGACAAGCTCGCGGCTCTGTAGGTAGGTGAGCGGTGTACTGAACCCGCGGAAGCTGAGTTAATGTTCGTATTGAAATGTACGGTCGTAGTTTTAATAAAATGTAGGCATTGCATATGATACAAAAACAAATACTACGAATTACATTCTGAAATTAGTGCAAAGTTTTTTTAACACGCAATGGAACGCAAAAACGGATTAAATAGCAACTTTTAGGTTTGAGAGATTACTGATGGTCCGGAGGCCTTGCCAGTTTTATTAGGGCATGTCGGCGAGCAAGGGCTCGGCCAGGAGGGATGGGATTTGCTAACAGCTACCCGAGCGCCTCCAAAAGAGACCTAACGACTCAAGAGTAGCTGCTTTGTGAATGAATCTACTAAGTAACTGACTAAGATCCGGCGAGAAACTCAGCGATCTTATGTTTAGGTTAGGTAGCACATCGAAATCTTTGCCGAAAGCTTTTCTGAAGGCGTCTAATGCAAGGGTTATTAGATCTGATGGATCCGTAAGGACGTAAATAGCAACTGCCGTGGTAACGCAACACGGAGAAGCTATCTACATGTTGTTTGCTGGCTCAATAAGAACTCTTCTTCCTCCCGATCCACTAACGGTGCTTTTAGGTACTTCAAGCACCGGTCACCGTTCTCGTCGAACCCGTCGCTTGCGACGAAGGGCTCGAAGAGTAAATTAACTCTCAGACACAGCCCACTGAGTTTCTCGCCGGATCTTCTCAGTGGGTCGCGTTTCCAATCCGGTGGTAGATTCTGCGAAGCACGGCTCTTGCTAGGGTTCGTGTTAGCAACGTCATCAGGTTTGAGCCCCGTGAGCTCACCTACTAAAGTTAGGATTACGCTGACATAGCCCCTAGGGCTATCAGCTTAGGCAGGAAAAAAAAATAAAAAAAAAAGAACTCTTCTTACCCACTGAGTTTCGCGCCGGATCCTCTCAGTGAGTTTTCGATACCGATCCGGTAGTAGATTCAGCGAAGCGATTCGTCGGAACTCGGCTAACTTCGTGCTACGACAGAGCCTAGCCGATGGAGGCGCGCAGACGCCATCACACTAACCAACCAGCCTTCTAGAAAAGCGGTGCCTCCGTCCTAAGAACTGTCATTCGTTTTCGTTTGCTAACGTCAAGGGAAGATTTCTAAATTGTTCTAAGACAACAAACATGTTTTGTGTACTCCCACTTCGATAAAGCGGCACGATATGAGAACCCTCTCATCGTGGCCGCCGGTAACTACATTCCCGATCCTGCGGACAGAATGGAAAGCAGTCGACGTCGCCCCAAACACGTCATTACGGATCCTCCCGATTTAGGTGCCCCAAGCACCGGTCATCGTTCTCGTTGTACCTGTAGCTTGCGACGAAAGGCTCGACGCGTAAATTAACCCACAGACACAGCCCACTGAGTTTTTCGCCGGATCTTCTCAGTGGGTCGCATTTCCGATCCAGTGGTAGATGCAGCGAAGCACAGCTCTTGCTAGGGTTCGTGTTAGCAATGTCCTCAGGTTTGAGCCCCGTGAGCTCACGTACTTGTTAAGGTTACGCTGAAATAGTCTCTCAAGGCTATCAGCTTAGGTAGGATAAAAAAAAGGCGCATTAGCATCAAGACTATGAGGCTCCCGCGCTAGAAGTCTGATCGGTCAGAACGTGCCTCCGCGAAACTAACACACGTGATTCGCTTATGAGAACGTGCGAATTTAAGACGGCTTTATTCTATTCACTTGAGCCAAGGGCAATGTACGTACAATCCGATAACCGTTTTGAGTATGTATATTGTGTGTGTGTGTGTGTGTGTGTTTGTATATCGAAAGGTGAAAGGCTATTTGGTTTAAGCGACATGTTTGCAATATTACTAGAGAGCTTTTTAAAGTTTAAAATTTAGAAAATAAAGTCCAAAAAAAATATATCATAACAAGTAAACTTCTTCAGCTATTTGAATTGAGTAAGCTTCATTGAAGTTCAATTAAAAACATCGAACTTATGATGCTAATACCAAATAAAACGGACCTTTAATTACAAAGATAAATGTCGCTTAAACCTTTCACTCCGGGATATATAAATAAACATAGACATAAATGAAGGTTTTTATCTTCCAAAATAAAATTACCTCTAAGAAAGATGAAATATTTCTAGCATTTCATATCAAATTCGGAAATTCTTACGTTCTTACTTTCATAGGTTACGCCATCCAAAATCACTCGATTTTACTTACTTCTAGGGAATAATAGTTATACAAGGGCAATAAAAAAAAAAAAAAATAGGGATTGATCGTAGAGGGGCGAAAATTTCAGAGTAATATGAATTTTTTTATTCTAAGTCATGACAAAATAAAAACAAAATTCTTGCAAAATCTTTAAAGTTTTTAATTAGCAAATAAAAAATAAGGGTTGATCGTCCTCCTCCTCGCGTCGTTTTCCTCATTACTGAGGGTCGTGACTCTCCCGCTGCATCAGTTTCTTCCGTACGATTTCCCTCCATCTTCTACGATCCTTAGCTTTGTGGAAGGCATTGTGAAAATTTAGGGTTGTATGTATTTTTGTATGCTGTATCATAAAAAAATAAAAACAAAAAATTTTGTCTAAAAAATAAAAAATAAAATTTATGGGTGGACCACCCTTAAGATTTAGGGGGATGAAAAATATATGTTGTTTGATTCTCCACCCTGGCCGCTATGCACGCTAAGATTCACGAAAATCGGTCGAGCCGTTTTGGAGGAGTTCAGTCACGCACCCCGTGACACGAGAATTTTATATATTAGATGTATATTATACCAGTGAATGTACGCTTCTTCAAACAGTTCGGAATCTACCCTACTCGTCGAACTCGGCAAAGTATTCGACGTGAAACCTAACCCATGCATCAGTCCGTTGAGTTTCTCGCCGGGTCTTCTCAGCGGGTCGCGATTCCGATCCGGTAGTAGATTCATTCGCGAAGCAGCTGCTGTTGAGTTGTTAGGTCTCTTTTAGAGGCGCTCGGGCAGCTGTTAGCGAATCCCACCCCTCCTGGCTGAGCCTTTGAGTCTTTGCACGTCCACCTGTTCTGGTGAAACTGGAAAGGCCTCTGGGCCACCAGTAATCTTTCATTGATATAAAAAAAAGAGTTCAGATTCTCACTTGAAACATCTGCTACATATCAATGACGAATATGACGGGGCACCGATGACGTCATTGATGACACAATTATCTAAATACAACTCGCATAAATGTGAGTATAATTAAAATTCTGAATTCCTAAAAACGTTCACGTGTTTTGGCGCGTGTTCTAAGTAACTGTGTAAAAAGTAATTACTCACTGAGTTTCACGCCAGATTTTCTCAGTAGGTAACGTTTCCGATCCGGTAGTAGATTCTGCGAAGCACTGCTCTTGCTGGGGCTAGTGTTAGTTAATTCTCTCAGGTTGAGCCCGTGAGCTCACCTACCCGTCCGGGCGTCGCTGGAATAGCCATTTAGACTACCAGCGAATAAGTAGGGAAAAAGGTAAAATAAGATTGTGTTTACAAATCAAGTTTTGGAGTCGTCGCGTCTTAAAGGATAAGACGTCCGGTGCATATGTAGCGATGCAATGGCGTTCGAAT